TAAGTAGATGGTTACGGCATGATCCAGATAATACAACGTAACGGACGTTCCAGCCGGTTTAATGCAATGGCATCTATACAGAAACAGCGAACCCCAGGTCATGTGCATATGCTTTAGGGTTATGTAATTAAGGAGATCAGAGGGCGACCGGTATTGGATATGGTAACAGCAAACTCTTCCTCCCAACACAGGGATGCTCGCTACTGTGGAAAACTCTTAGGAGACAATTACGATCCAAATCGGAAAAACAGGACTCCTCGGGTAAGCCACCGGAGGATTTGGTAAATACTAAGAAGGGGAAGGAAGAACTTTGAAGGCTTTTATGAAGAGGTATACTGAAACTGCACGACGGGTTAGAGAGATAGATTAATCTTTTATTATCAATAATTTGCCTTCGTGTATGAGACCAGGATATTTTGCAAAAAAATTGTATGCACGACCGCCAAAAACTATGGAGGAGCTACAGGAGCGAGCAACTGAGGTCATCCGTATGGAGAAAATGCGATTGTCACAAAGGAAACGACAACAAGAGGCTGATGTGGGCGGAAGTAGAAAGGACGACAAACTACCGTTCGACAATAACGATAAGAATAGGAGTTTCCCCGGCCATTCAAGTTTCCACCCAGTATACAACCCCAATGCCACCTAGGGCAAAAGTTCCGTAAGAAGCCCTTAGCGCAGAAACTTCTCACACCCCGAAGGAAACCATCTACAAGAAACGCATAGAAAGGAAGAGGTTGCCTGGTACCATCAAAACCATGACATGCTACAGATAGACTGCATCAAGTTAAAAAGATTAAATCGAAAATCTTATCCGGGAGGGACATCTCGTTGGTGTTATAAAGGAATCAAGATTACAACAACGTATGCCTCCCCAAGGCGAGGGGAAATATTCGCAGGAAGAATCCCCGGAACGCGCGGGACAAAATGAGGAAAGACGGCAGGAAGGAGGGCGGGGCAAGTAGCAGTCCTAGTGTCATCGTGGAACGGAACGGGTCCGAGTGGACGAGTGGAATGGTGTTTAACTCAATTAACAGGAAGAAAACCTCACAAAAACTCTATTAATGTCATGGTTAAATTTAGTGTTTACTTGATTTAGACTTGTGTTGATGTCCTGTACGCTTTATTATGAGATATTAAATAAGCCAGGTAATTGGTGCCCAATCAATCGTTCCCAAAACGTTGGTAAAGACAGTGCATATCCAGCGAAAAAACGTCTATATAAACGAGTCTGAAGAAAAAAAGGATCCGAGCGGTAATGCCCGCGCGGCCGAGAGGTAAACCCTCTCGTCAAAATTGAAGATAAAGACAAGAGGTAAATTTCCTCTATGAAAAATTTGAAGACGAGCGGTAAATCCCACTAGACTGAAAAGTAAATTCCCCTCTATACAAGATTTGAAGAACGCTACCCGAGCTAGTTAAATCCCACTCGCCGAAGGAAGGTAGAGGGGTAAGAATTTCTCTATACAAGCATTTGCGAAACCGAGCAGGTAAATCCACTCGACGAAGAGGTAAAATCCGATAAAGAGTTGAAGACACGAGCGATCAAGTCCACCACCGGCGAAGAGGTAAATTCATCTTATAAAGGATTTGAAGATAACGAGCGGTAAATCCTAATCGAGAAAGAAGGTAAAATTCCTCGATAAGATTGAAGACCGAGCCGGTAAATTCCACTCGGCGAAGAGGGTAAATTCCTCTGTTTAAAGATTTCAGAAACAGAAGCAGACGTAGTCGAAGACCGAGCCGCCGGGCAGGTAAAACCCACATCGCGAAGAGGTAAATCCTCTATAAGATTTGCAGATCACGGCCCACTACCAGGTAAAGCCCGCCTCCGCAAGAGAGGTAAAGGGGTAAAAGACCATTCATTGTTTCAAACAGAATGAACAATAGGATCGAACACGATTCTGAAGTGATTAAGCCGACTGGTCTTGACTAACAAAACGCCTGTGGTCTGATATCTGAATGACCAGAGCGGTTTGTTTGAGCTACTATTTTTCTCACCATATCAAATTAGAGTGTTATTCTGTCATTCAGTAGACTGGTAAGACAGGATATCCTGCAAATCACGCAACGAGAGGTAAATCACTCTTTGTCAAAGTTGCGAACACATATCGAACCGAGCGGTAAATAGAAATCCAGTCGGTCGAGAGGTAAAAACCCTCGTCGAGGTAGGAAGCCAAACAACGGAGAAGAAAAGAAAATCCTTCTAAACCGAAACGGTTCTCACTCTCATCAACAGGAAGCTTTGATAACAAGGACTGTCAAGCATGCCAGCCAAATTCAAATAACATGGAACTGTTTCGGCACAAATACGATATAAACGAACTTAAGGCCCACGGAGAGCAAAAACGCCTTAACACAAGAGAACAACCTCCCTCAGGAAAATCATAAGTTCCATAGGTAACCGTTTGGCTAAAGCCGAACGATTAACTCGGACTTGGGGGGCTTAATATGTTACTATGGGCTCATAGGCTACCGATCGGTCTCGACCAGCTTCGCATCTGTTCGGTCTCGACAACTATTGAGCAGAGTTAACACACAATGAATGTGATAACGGCTACCGTTAAACAATTAAGGTTTGCATTAATGACCATTAAGAGGTAAATTAATTTAGATTCCTTTAAAACGCTATAAATAAGGGTTAGGTTGAGGTAAAGAACAGATTCAACTCATACTACAATACGCTATATTTAAGTCCCTAGTAGGAATTCAATATTTGAACTGTGTGACAAAACGTTCATAAAAAAAACCGAACCTCCTAACTTGAGCGTCGGCGGGCCTTTGCAGGTTACCCTCCCCCTCTGTCACAAACCAAAATAGAGCGGTCAAGCATTGGTTCACGAGCGGGCCAATATTGAAGGTGTCCGATCGGTCCAAAACTAGAAAGCAGACAAGCGAAGCGCACCAAGTCGAAGGTTAGTGTCTCGGTCTCACAAATTCACATAGAAACAATTTTAATTTAATTAATTAAATTCAATAAGAGTATTATTATTTAATGTGAGAGACACAAATTATCATTACTTGTCTTAATCAAAAGACCACGATACTGAGATAAACCTTTTTATATTATTTACAGTGGGGTGAATAAGTTGTCATCTCGGGCCACACATTTTGCTTTCAAAAGAAAAGAACATCCATTTTTCACCTTTTGCAAATCATGGGTAGCCCATCATGCAGTACTTTTGCTTTTTAATGCTAAATGCTAAAAGTGGTCTCTAACTAAAAATTAGAGGAAACTAAAGACAAGAAAAGGAGAGAGAGGAAGGGAGAAAAAAGCGATCGACATTGATACTAAAACATAAAAATGATATCTTGTATATAGTGAAGGCCCCAACGTAGTACAAATGAAAATCAATGTGTCTATAGGGCACCACATAAAAACAACATAAAAGTCCACGAAACCTTTGTCCAGGAGAAAAGTCCCTTACCACATAACCATAATATATACACCACATATATTGTCAACAGGTAATCAAGAAAAATCTATTTCCCAAACCAAACTAATTAAGCGGGCGAACAGTGTCCGCCACAGCTCTCACCGCCACCGCCACCGCCGCAATCACCACTATTTCTAGAACCCTACTTCCATTCTACAATGAGAAATCACTTTTCAACATTAACACATTTCTTATTATTGCTTAAAATCCATTAGAAATCACAAAAACCTGTGAAATTTTTGCGGTTTCCAACAAACTTTATAACGATAATAAAGAAGGCATTGTTTTAGCAGTGATGAAAGTAAAAGTATAGAGAATGCATTACTTTAGTCTGATATAGGTTTTGTGTCTAAGTATTATATATAATAGTAAGAATATAAAAAGAGGTGGTAGCATGGATCACCAGATTGAATCAGTGTAGGTGGTGTGGTCGACGATCATGTCCATGTCGATATCAAAAATAGGTTTGGGTTGTTGTGAGTGAATGATCTTGGAAGATGGAGAAGCAGTGTTGGTAGGGCTAGTGGGGCTGTAGAGAGATGCATTCTGACGCACTCTGAGATGCACTGCTTCGGCTTGAGCCACTGCCAATTGGGTCTGCAACACATCAATCTGTTGCTGAAGAGATGAAATGGCCCCCACACACCCATACACTGGGTCCCTCACTCTTGCATTTGCCTCATACACCATGCTGCTCACTGCATCTCCTCTCTGATGCTCTGGTAGCTCCTGTAACAATTAAATAACTGATGAAGAAAAAGTTTCTGATATAACATTAATGTCACTTTCACTCGTTACTTTTGTAACTGTTTTATCATATGCTTCAACAGTACTACTACTTTCACCTTTTTTTTATCTCATTTTTTTTTCATATTGCATCACCTGTATTATATTAATCTCTGTCCTTTTTTGGACTTTTTCTGGATACTTTTTAAGACGTTCAATTTATCTTCTGCGTTAAACTTTTTAACAAAAGCATCCTTAATTACTTAACACTTCTTTTTCTAGTCAGTATACTATCCTTTCACTAGGTTTCATTTATTCGTATATAATATAAAAAGTCGTTGCTGAAGAGAAGGGACACGAAGAAGATCAAGAGAAAAAGGTTCTTCAAATTTTAAATATATATATTTTTTAAATTTCTCAAGTTTAACTGAGTACTTAGAAGGACCCTCTCTCTCTATAGGACTAGAGAAGAAAGAGGGTATATTATTATTATTATTATTATTATTATTATTATTATTATTATTATTATTTTTGAACTAGTTAATGAAATTGTTTTAGCAATAAAAGCATCTTAAAGGATCCGATAAGTTACAATATTTGATGTTTGACAACGAAATGAGTAATTTTATTGAATGGATATGATTAAAAAATTTATGACAAAAGCAGGTTCACGTGGTGCAGAAGCAGGATGTTATTTCAATAATTTGTTTTTCTTTTGGTTTGTGACAAGAGAAGGTGAAGTGGAGTTTGGATTCTTAAACGTTGTTTCACACAATCACGCACGTACGTTGCTTGTTAAGTTTCGCTTTGTGTTGTGCTTGACCCTGACTTTTGGTGACAAAACCACGTTTTGAAGCTCCTATTGGGTGGCCCAAGATACGATCCATGAAGAAAGAGATACAATATTTTAGTTTCTCAAAAATCTAAATAAATATAAGGCTACGCATAAACTTTTTCAAAGGATATTTTTTATTTATTTATTTTCATTTGTCCTATTCTTTTTTATTTTTAACGAACACATGGCAGACCAAAAGATGAGACTGACCTAATATTGAAATATGAATGAATGGAAAAGCAGACAAAGGGATTAGGACGTGAGATGTGAGATGTGAGGTTTGAAGGCGCCGAATGCCTAATCTTCTCCACCTTTTCTAATTTTTCAAGGGCTACTTAGAAAAAAAAAAAAAGTATCAATTCGTGGTTTTTCACAATCACTTCTCTCCAAAGCTTAATTCAACGTACCAATAATTCTATATTATATTTTCCACACACCGATACATACAACTTTGTCTAATGCATACAAATAAATTAAGCTAGTATTATTTTCAAACTTTTTCACACCAAATCATTTTCGTATATCATATTACGGAATTTCTATATGCTATAGTTCCACAACCATGGAAAATAATCGGCAGAAGATAGAAACATGCCATAAACAAATGTACTAGCTACCATGTATATATATTACGTAAATAGTTTAAAGTAAGAAGAAAAGACAGAAGCATGTTAAAGCTTACAAGAAAATAATGTGAAAGATTGAGCAATGGTCAAGGAAAGCGTCGCACTAGTCTGCAAGGTTGTTGATCTTTATACCAAAAACAGACACCATAAATTCGTTAAGAAAGTCTGCAGTCTTTGAACCTAATAGAGTTCATATGCTTGAAAGGTGGTTGAGAAAGAGAAAAAAAAAACTGTTTTTTGAGTTATTTACGTTATTATTTTTTCATTTTATTGAATACTAATTTTGTTCAGAAACTTGACTTATGAATTTCAATATTTCTTAGTTACATGTTATTCACAAAAAGAATTGAAAGAAAAAAGTAAAAAGCGACCTAGGAAACAAGATCATAGTTGGTGAAAAGTAAAATGTTGAGATGCATGTAAGATAATAAGGAGAATCCTGAAGGAATGAAGCATTTAATATAAGAGAGGAAAGAACCTGAAGCATCTTATTGACATTGCTGGCACCAAAGACTCTGTGAACATTGGCAAACTTGTGGGGTTCATCAGCAGGAAAATAAGGAGCAAAAACACAATCCTGAGCACACCTTCTCCTAAGGAGCTTGCATGCAGCACAGGGTGAGGGTGCACCCTGCTTCCTACCACCATCTTTCATGTTTCCCTTCTTCTGAAACTTCTAAAAGGACATGAGAATGGTAGAGCAACAAAAGAAGGATTTATAGTTGAAAATAAAGTAAATAAAAGGAAGAAAAGACAGAGGGCGTGTGTGTGTG